GCCTGGTAGGCCGCTTTGGGTTCTGGCAGCAACACATACCACACCTAGGTATATTGTTTGACTCATAATCTGGGTAACAGATATGGATGCTAGCTTTGAGTGGGAACTGGACAGGAAGAGCCAAGCCATGATACATTCAGACACCATCCATCAGACCCATGGTGTTGGAGGCAGCAGTGGTGAGTAAAGATGCAGTATGGAACTAAAGGTAAAAACCATCACTTGCTGGTGTCTGGGATTCTATAGTAATGCCATGCCATTCACACAAGAGTGATAGAAGCAAATCTGGTGTGTTGATGGGCCCTCATAAGATAGAATGCTTGACCATGAGATAACAAACAGTTACATTATTAAAAATGACCATATGCACTGGGTTCTGTATAACCCACTAAGTCGTAAATTGGTCAGGTCCGCAGCAGTCCATCATTAGATGGAAATGCTGTATCTGTGGTTAAGCCTCAATAACATGTTAACACCCAATGGGAAACATCCACCCATGATGAGGCACTTAAATTGACCAAGCAGATAAATTGACCTTAGCCAGGTTTCACCACTGGGGAACCCAGGACTGGCAGGATAGGTGCATGACTGGAGCGACTACAGTGGCAAAGCAAGGCTACATATGGGTCCAGGAGGATTGACTACTTCTACCTTTGAAGGTCCAACTTGTCAAAAATAGAGACCAATCTGGGGCCTGATATAACACTATCTCTTGATTCAATCAACTGCCCATGAAGTGACAAGTTGACCGCATTGAGCCCTTTCCATCCTGGAAGGGTGAAAGGTTCATCTTCATAGGAATAAATATCTCTTCCAGGTGTGGTTTTTCCTTTCCTGCCCTCAGAGCCATGCCACTATCTGGGGGCTATCAAAATGCCTGCTCTATAGGCTCATGTTTTCTCTTGGCACAGTATCTGACTGGGGGACTCACTTTATAGTGAAGGAGATTCAGCGTGGACCATGACTTGAGAACACTGGTGTTATCACATTTCACATGACCCAGAGGTAGTCAGCCACACAGAACACTGGACAGGCCTTCTAAGGCACAAATCAAGTGCCAGCTTTGAGGAACACTGTAAACGGATGTGGTTCATTTTCCAGAATGCAGTGTGTCTACTGAATCAGAGATCACTGTTTTCTTTAGGAAGAGTATGTGAGTCCAGGAACCGGGGGTGGAAACAGCTGTGGCCCTGCTTACCATTATTTCTAATCACCCATGGGGGATTTTGGGCTTCTCTTCTCTGCAATTCTGGGCCCTGCAGGGTTGGAGGTCCTGGTTCCCGAAGAATGCACTCTTAAAAGGGCACAAATGAGGGTCGACTGAACTACACACACATTTTTGTTGCCACCAGAGAAAATTGGACTCCATGTGCCCACAGACCAGGAGGTGAGAAAAGGGGTCCCCTCTTCTCCATGCAGGAGTAATTGACATGATCCACGGGTTGGGGTGGGGTTGCTGTCACTTGATAGGGGCAGGAGGTATACATGCAGAACCCAAACTGGGCATTTCCTATTTCCTCCTTGCTCCCTATAACTGTGAATGGATATGTACAGCAATCCAGCCTATGAAGGGTTCAATTTATAGGGCCCCAGACTCTCTCAGGTAGGAAGACTTAGGTCACTGTCTTGCCAGTGGGTTTCAGCCATGGACAAGTTCACTCTTGATCCAGTGAGACCAAAAATGACAATGGAACGTTCTCGGGGTGAAAGGGTTTATACCCAGCTTTATTCTCATGGTGGCAGGTCAAAGGCTAGAATCCCAACCGCCTCAGTGCAAGTCTGCATGCAGCAAGCCAGTCTCTGCCTCTGGGCCGCTCCATCCCTATGGCTGTTTCAGTCTCTGTCCTCAGTGCTGCAACCACTCCAGGCTTTGCTCTCCTGCAGCCTTGCAGCCCAGAGCAATGGCCGGAGCTCTTTATGTAGAGTCAGTAATAACATACTGCCCACACATGTGCACTGAGCAAGTCCACCAGAGTAAACTGAGAATCCTGGCCACAAGAACTTCCATTTTCTCTACAGTCACATCCGCAGGTAAGCCACAAGTGCCCCCACTCCTGTGCTTTGAAGTCCATGGCAGCATTTGTGCAGAGGCCCTGCCTCCCAGCGGTTGTTCCCAGTCAATGACTGGTCAGAACAGAGACATATAGGCAGGCCATTTCTGGGAGACATGGGATTCCTCTGACGGCCAATGTGGCTTGAGGACTCTCCTCTGGCCTTGTTCAGTTCCCTTAAATTGCTGGTGTCTAAGATAGTCTCCCAAACCTTTCTCTTGCTGACCCTCATCTAGGATCAGAAGTGGATCCCAGTCTGCTGGCTCTCCCAGAATTTTCTGTCAGTCTCCACATAATCTCATTTCCCCTAATATAATCCTGGTGAGTTTAAGCTCAAATTTAGCATCTGCTTCTTGGATCCTCAGAGTAACAAAATCATCTTCATTTATGTACTGACAGCCTATTACTTATTCCATCTTGTAAAATCCTTCTCTTTATCCAACTTCTCCCACCAGCATCTGCTCTACTTTGATGGTTTTTTAATATCTTTTTCAGGTAATAGATGTTTATTTAAGCCACTACATTTATGGTAATTTGCTACACAAAAAAGATAAATTAATAAGAGAACAAAGCTCTCTTAAGTTTCTGTTGTTCTATAGGTATCATCTAATCTGTTTTTCTTTGCACTTTGAAAACGTTATCTATCCTTGCTGTGTCCAATCCTCTCCCCTTGTTCTCTCTTTAGTTTCTTTAATCTTTCTGTTTCTTTCCTCCCATCCTCTTCCTCTCCCTTCCTCTTTTCCTTCCTTCCTTTTTATTATGGAAGATTCCATACACATAAAAGATTCCAAACATATAGAATAATATTATATGGTTATGCTGAAAAGTAGTATTATCTGGATTTATATGCTAAAAAAGTATAATTACAAGGTATTTGGAATAAAAGGAAATTATTTTAGAGATAGAAAAAAATATCTGGGTGATTCTACAACTAAGGAAGTGACTTTCAACTCTTACTTCCTCCTCTTCAGCTAAAAAAGGTCACTGTTTATACTTTCAGAGTTTTTACTTTCAGAGCAATCACAACAGCAACATGAACACTTACACATCCCAGGTAAAAGTTAAAATTGGTACAAGCACTTTGAAAATCAAATTAGCATTATCTAGTATGGCTAAAGTACATGCCCTATATAATCCAGCACTCCTACTCCTGGTCATCCACTCTGGGAGATTTCTCACTTATGTGCTTGAGGAGACATATGCACTAATGTTTACGGTGAAAACTGGAATAACCATATAAAGATCGATAGGAAAATACCAGAACTGTGGTTTAATCATCAAATGTAAAAGTTAACAGCAGTAAGAATGAGTGAACTATGCCTCATACATCAGGGATAAGTCACCTACACATAATGCCGAGTCACAGAAGAATCCATGCACATGTATTCACTGTACAGGAAGGTTAAAAACAGGTGAAACTAAATAGTATGTGGTTTGGGCATATATACAAACTTATTGAAAAATCTTTACAGAAACTCAAAGGAATAGTAAACAAAAGTTTCAGGATGGAGTACAGCATGAAGAATATGATTAATGACTCCATAACACCTTACTACTTTGATAGACAGTGACCGCAGTGGAGGAGGTGAGGATTTGGTAATATGGGTGAATGCTGAATCATTATGTTGTGTTTGTGAAACTGTCATAAGATTGTATATCAATGATACCTTAATAAAAAAAAGAAAAAAAACATGGTGGAAGATATTATATTTATTATAGGATGTCATTTGAATAACCAGTCCTTTTGGAAACCCTTTGTTCCTAGATTGGGATTAACCATCATGGTCTGATGAATTGCATCAATAATGTCATGATGGTAAGGCAGGTGAGGAGACTGAAATATGAGATTTCCCTTTCTCTAGTTGAAAGGAAATCAGTCTCATTAGGCAATATTATTGAAAACTATATTTCCATATGAAAAGTGACATTTTATCTAATTTTTAGCATTAAACTGAATTTGAAACTCCTAAAGAAAAACAAGATAGTTAATCTTTTACAGGCATTATTGTTAAGTCTTCCAGGTCTTTGAAATATTTGATATAGCAACTATATTCTCAATATTGCTGCAATTTATTGAAGACAACATGATTAAGGCATTTGCAAGAAAATTTAGAGATACTGATGTATCTCGTTTCTCTGTCTCAAAATTTTCATTATTACTTTCCAAACACAAATTTGAAGTCTTCAAGAAAAATAATTGGGTAAAAGAAGCATTTGACTTACAAAATCCCAAAACAATATTTAATTTTAATTTTGGTTTTAACATATACGTCCCTTCTTTGATACTCCTCTCCATAGGTGGACCTTACTTGCCTCCTTTTGAATGTGGCTGCACTTGATTACTTCTGATAGAGTAAGGCTGAGGCAACAGCGTGTGACTCTACTACAAATTAGACTCCTGATCATTCTGGAGGTATGAAGATTGTGGTTAATAAAAAGGGAACTGATCTCTATGGGAGTCTCTACGTGGTGCCCCAGGCACATCTGCCTCCCATTTAAAGAGGAAACCATTGTTACTTCACCAACTTTCCCAAGGCCAGCTCACTCTCAGGCATATTCCTTGGGAGTCAGTTTTCTTCTAGACCAGTGTAAGCGGAAGAGGTAAGGAGTAGAGAGTACATCTCAGGTAGAGGGAATTCGGGAAAAGGAGAGAACAAGTAGCTGAGCCCTACCTAGGGTTTCTGTTCTTGGTTTCTTAACACAGGACTCGGAGACAGTGAGACAAAGAGTCTTCCGTGCAGGAGAGAGATCAGGACAAAGCCCCAGGTCCCCAGGAGGCCATGGCTCCCGGGACCTCAGTCCCGAGGACGGTGTTTGGGGCGGGGAACCTCAATGTCGGGAAGTCCCCACTCTCGGGGCTTTCGCTACTGTCGCTCACAACTTGTGTCACGTCCTTCTGCCTGGATACTAGTGACGCGACACCCGTTCCGGCTCCCAGTGACTGTCGGGTTTCCAGACAAGCCAATCGGCGTAACCGCGGTCCTGGTTATAAAGACTCCTCGGACCCGGGGGAGCTCAGCTTCTCCCCAGACCCAGAGGATCTGGACCATGGCGCCCCGAGCCCTCCTCCTGCTGCTGTCGGGGGCCCTAGCCCTTACCCAGACCTGGGCGGGTGAGTGCGGGGTCGGGAGGGCGCGGCCCCTGAAAGGAGGAGCGAGGGGGCCCCCGGAAGGGGGCGCAGGACCCCCGGGGAAGGGTCATCGCTGCAGCCCCCGGGCCAGACCCCACCCCGGCCCCGCCCCTATCCCGCCTTTGTCCCTCCCCCCTGTTCCTCCCCGGCTCCAGCCTCCCCCTCACCACTCGGGTCTCCCGTCGCCCCTTTCCGTCTCCCGAGCCCCAAGCCCCACCCCGCCCGGCCCCACCCACCTGGGATCCGGGACCCGGGACCCGCGCGGGAAGGAGGGTCGGCCCGGGTCTCAGCCCCTCCGCGCCCCCAGGCTCCCACTCCCTGAGGTATTTCCACACCGCCGTGTCCCGGCCCGGCCTCGGGGAGCCCTTCTACATCTCCGTGGGCTACGTGGACGACACGCCGTTCCTGCGGTACAACAGCGACGCTGCAAATCCAAGGGTGGAGCCTCGGGCGCCATGGATGGAGCAGGAAGAGCCACAGTTTTGGGACCGGCAAACCAGTATTGCCAAACGGCATTCTCAGACCTGCACATTCAATCTGAAGACTGCCCTTGGCTACTACAACCAGAACGAGTCCGGTGAGTCCTCTTAGAGTTCCCAGGTCCGAGATTCACCCCATGCCAGAAATCCCCATCCGCCCCTTGACCCAGGAAAAGCTGGTCGGTTTCGCTCGGATTTCGTTTACAAGTTAGGAGAAAAAGGGCCCTGACAATACAGCCCGTGAGTCTGGCGCGCGAGCAGGTGCTCGGGGCGGGGCTGGCCTGGGCCGTCGGGCTGACGCTGGGGACGGGGCCAGTGCCTCACGCTTTCCAGTGGCTGTCCGGCTGCTCTGTGGGGCCTGACGGGCGCCTCCTGCGTGGCTATGAAGAATTTGCCTACGACGGCGCGGATTACCTCGCCCTGAATGAGGACTTGCGCTCCTGGACCGCGGCGGACGCGGCGGCTCAGATGACCCGGCGCAAGTGGGAGGCAGCCGGTATGGCGGAGCACTACCGGCTCTATTTGCAGAGGGAGTGCGTGGAGTGGCTCCGCTGGTACCTGGAGAAAGGGAAGGAGGCGCTGCAGCACGCAGGTAACGGGCCGCGGGGCCTCCCCATTTCCCTTTGGGGTTGTACCTTCATCTGGTCCAATCAAAAGGGGAGAAAAATGGGAGAAAAATTCTTCCCTTCTCTCTCCCACCTTGGATCCTGGGGTAAGCTGTTCGTCTGGGTTTTCAGATCCTGTACCAGAAGGTGACTTGCCCAGAAGGCCCATCCTTCTCTCAGGACGTTTAAGGGATTATGTCTCTATGCCCATAGCACATTAAGTCTCTATGAAGATGGAGAGGGATACCTTTGAAATAAATAGCAGACTTTTTGACCCTGGGAAGTAACCTTGGGCATTACTGGGTGACTTACTCCTTCAGGCCTATTCTCTGTCCCAAGCTCAACTTTATTGGAAATCTGAATTCAGGTTTTTTGAGTTACTTGACCTCCACCCAGGGCTGGAACAGAAATCGCTGTTGTCCTGTTTAGAGACCTGGAGTCTCCTACCCTGAGCTCTTTAACCCTGATTCTAGAACTTTCCAAGCGATAGGAGGTTATTCCAGGTCCTGGAGTACAGGCTGATGTCTGAGTTTTATACTCCTGTCCCCCATCCCAATTATCCTGTCCATTATCAGGGATGATTACATGAATGCTGTTTCAGTGGTCTATGGGAGGTAACCCAAAGTTCCTAAATTTTGTCAACTTCCTCCTCAGACCCCCCAAAGACACATGTGACCCATCACCCCACCTCTGACAGTGAGGTCACCCTGAGGTGCTGGGCCCGGGGCTTCTACCCTGCGGAGATCACCCTGACCTGGCTGCGTGATGGGGACGACCTGACCCAGGACACAGGGCTTGTGGAGACCAGGCCTTCAGGGGACGGAACCTTCCAGAAGTGGGCGGCTGTGGTGGTGCCTTCTGGGGAGGAGCAGAGATACACATGCCATGTGCAGCATGAGGGGCTGCCTGAGCCCGTCACCCTGAGATGGGGTGAGGAGGGGTGTGGGGTGGAGCCCTTCTCAGAGAGCAGAGCCCTGTGGAGACTTCAGCAAGGTCAGGACTCAAGCCTGAGGTCAGGGCCTCACTTCCCTCCCCAGAGCCACCTCAGCCCACCATCTCCCTTCTGGGCCTCATTGCTGGCCTGGTCCTCTTTGTGGTCACTGGAACTGCGGTGGCTGGAGCTGTGATGTGGAGGAAGAAGCGCTCAGGTAGGGAAGGGGGGTGTTTCTGAGTGCTCCTGGCCCACTGGGGGGCTCAAGCCCTGGGTGGAAGTTTGTCCTGCCTGTTAGTGGGAAATGCCATCCACACCCCTGTGCTTGCCCAGCCTGGAGCTGAGGGCTGTCACTGGCTCCTGTAAAGCACATGTGAAAATGAAGGATGGATTTTCCCTTAATGAATGTGGCCATGGGGATGGAATTCCCAGCAGCCCAAGGTCAGAGGGAAGGTCCCTGCTGAGGACAGATTCCAGGAGGGCAGGTGGTCCAGTCCCCCCACACTTCCTTTCTCCCTGTTTCCTGATCCTGTCCTGGGTCTGTAGTCACAGTTCTGGAAACTTCCCTGTGGTCCAGGACTATCAAGTCCCACTAGGCCCTCATGGCCAAGCCTCCTCCTGCCTCTCATGGGGTATTTTCTTCCCACAGGAGAAGAAGGAGGGAGCTATACTCAGGCTGCAGTAAGTATAGAGGGGGTGGTCCCTGAGCCTCTTGAGGGTGACAGGAGCCCATGGGGGAGCTCACCACCTCTCCCCATAGTCCCTCTTTTTCTGTTACCTCCTGTGGGCTCTGACCTCATCTTGTTCTGTCACACCCCAGGTAGTGACAGTGCCCAGAGCTCTTATGTGTCTCTCATGGCTCCTAAAGATAAGACCCTAGACGGTTTGAAGTGGGAGGGGTTTGGGTAGAGGGAACACACTGGGTGATGGGGACTCTCTGGATTTGTACATTTTGAGTAAGCAGAAGGTCTTTTAGAATATCTCCACTTAGATGACTGCCCTGAATTTGTTCATGACCATTTTCTCTCACAGTGTGAGGTGGCTGCCTTGCGGGGACTGGGTGATGCAAGATTTCTTCACGTTCCCCTGTGTGACATTGAGATCCCCTGACTCTTTCTGCTAAGGGCATTTGACTAGGTCTGTGATCTGTTAGCATAATTTGAGGAGGTAGGGAGACTGGCCCATGCCTGCCCACCATGATTCCTCCCTGATACCATTGTCTGTTACTACTGTGGGTGCACAGATGTGTTCAAACATGTCAAATTGTATACAGTAAACATGTATATGCTAAATATGTATATAAGTACCTCAATAAAGCTGTTTCAAAAATAATTTCATTTTGAAAGTGGCTGACTGGTTCCTCATTTAATCATTACAATTTGAGATTATTTGTTAGATTGTCAATCTTTGTAAATTTTATGTATTTTATTTTATAAAGTAATTGATTCACCCTACTTTCTGTTAAATATAATGCTAAGTTAAAAATCTTAGCATGATCACAGGAAGATGGCAGCATGAGTAGTTCAGTGGAAATCTCCTCCCAAAAACATTTATATTTATGAAAATACAATAAATACAACTATTCCTAAAAGAGACACCAGTGGATACAGTACAAGAGCCAAGATACATCTACATCTGCGAGAACTCAACATCACATGAAGGGGGTAAGATACAAGCTGCAGCCAGGTGGGATCCGAAGGCTCCCCCACCCCAGAACTCTGTGGGAAGAAAGGAGTCGGAAGGGGAGGGAGGGAAAGCCCAGGACTGCTAAACAACCAGCTCTAGAAATCCGCACCTGGTGTGTAGACACAAGGTGCACGGGGTGCTGAATATTAGAGAAATGGAAAAGCAAAACCTGCGGAAAAGACCCCGCAACTGGCGCCCCTGAGACAAAAGTAAAGTGAGGGCTTTTGCAAGTCTTAAAGAGACAGGGACCTCACAGTTGGACGAAGTCGTCCCAGCACAATTAGCCAGCAGCTGGGAATACCGGGGAACTCTAGGCGCCCTAAATCCCTGGGCAGCAGCACAGCTCTGAAGCCCCTCATGGCACTAAGCAGCCTGCCAGTCATTCCCCCAACTGGCACGGACGCCGACACACCGGCCCAGTAGTGAGATAGTGGCAGCGCGTGCAGGGGGTGGTGGCGCCAGAGGGGACTGGAAGTGGCTCACGTGTGCTGGTGGTGCCAGAGGGGACCAGGAGCGGCTCATGCAAGCCCACTGCGACGGTGACAGAGCAGCCTGGGAATGGCCTGCGTGCGCCGGCAGCAGTGGCACCAGAAGAGCCCGGGAGAGGTCTGTGCGACCCTGCAGCAGTGGTGACCAAGTGGCCTGGGAGTGGCCCATGTGTGTCAGCAGCAGCAGTGCCAGAGGGGCATGGGAGAGGCCTACGCACAACTGCAGCGGTGCCACAGGGAGCAGCCATGCTCCCAGCAGTCAACCGGAATCCCAGCCCGATGCACAGCCACCCAGGCCAGACCCAAAGACGCTGCTGGCACACAGCTGCCCAGCAGGAGTGCTGCTATTGTGGAGGAGTGCACCGGGCATGCCTGCCACTCCCCGCAGGGCTCCGCACTGTTCTGACAGAGACCATGCCCACAGGAGCTTAGGGGATTAACCCGGTGGCTGCTCCAGGAGTGTGGGTAACTGACACAGGCAGCAGAGAAGGGCAAGGCATCCAGCAAGCAGGAAAGGACTTTCTTCTCCCAGCTGACACACCCACAACCTGCCTACAGCCACCACTATCACCATGAAAAGGCAAAAAAATTTAGTCCAGTCCAAAATAGTTCAGACAACTGAGAGAGGATCTGCAGAGACAGACCTAACCAGTCTCCCTGAAAAAGAATTCAAAATAAAAATCATAAACATGCTGACAGAGCTGCAGAGAAATATGCAGAGCTAAGGGATGATGTCCAGAGGGAGATTACAGAAATGAAACAATCTCTGGAAGGACTTATAAGCAGAATGGATAAGTTGAAAGGGGCTATTGATGGAATAGAAAACAGAAAACAGGAATGCATAGAAGGTGACACACAGAGAGATAAAAGGATCTCCAGGAATGAAACAATATTAAGAGAACTGTGTGACCAATCCAAAAGGAACAATACCTGCATTATAGGGGTACCAGAATAAGAAGAGAGAGAAAAAAGAATAAAAAGTGTCTTTGAAGAAATAATTGCTGAGAACTTCCCCAAACTGGGGGAAGAAATAGTTGCTCAGACTATGGAAGTACACAGAACTCCCAACAGAAGGGACCCAAAGAGGACAACACCAAGACACATAATAATTAAAATGGCAAAGATCAAGGACAAGGACAGAGTATTAAAGGCAGCCAGAGAGAGTAAAAAAGGTCACCTACAAAGGAAAACCCATCAGGCTATCATCAGACTTCTCAACAGAAACCTTACAGGCCAGAGGAGAATGGCATGATATATTTAATGCAATGAAACAGAAGGGCCTTGAAACAAGGATACTGTATCCAGCACGATTATCATTTAAGTATGAAGGAGGGATTAAATAATTCCCAGACAAGCAAAAGTTGAGGGAATTTGCTTTCCACAAACCACCTCTACAGGGTATTTTAGAGGGACTGCTCTAGATGGGAGCACTCCTAAAAAGAGCACAGAACAAAACACCCAACATATGAAGAATGGAAGAGGAGGAATAAGAAGGGAGAGAAATAATCATCAGACTGTGTTTATAATAGCTCAATAAGCAAGTTAAGTTAGACAGTAAGGTAGTAAACAAGCTAACCTTGAACCTTTGGTAACCACGAATCTAAAGCCTGCAATGGCAATAAGTACATATCTTTCAATAATCACCCTAAATGTAAATGGACTGAATGCACCAATCAAAAGACACAGAGTAATAGAATGGATAAAAAAGCAAGACCCATCTATATGCTGCTTACAAGAGACTCACCTCAAACTCAAATACATGCACTGATTAAAAGTAAAGGGATGGAAAAAGATATTTCATGCAAACAACAGGGAGAAAAAAGCAGGTGTTCCAATACTACTATCAGACAAAATAGACTTCAAAACAAAGAAAGTAACAAGAGATAAAGAAGGACATAACATAATGATAAAGGGGTCAGTCCAACAAGAGGATATAACCATTTTAAATATATATGCACTCAATACAGGAGCACCAGCATATGTGAAACAAATACTAACAGACCTAAAGGAGGAAACAGAATGCAATGCATTCATTTTAGGAGACTTGAAGACACCACTCATTCCAAAGGATAGATCCACTGGACAGAAAATAAGTAAGGACACGGAGGCACTGAACAACACACTCGAACAGATGGACTTAATAGACATCTATAGAACTCTACATCCAAAAGCAACAGGATACACGTTCTTCTCAAGTGCACATGGAACATTCTGCAGAATAGACCACATACTAGGCCACAAAAAGAGCCTCAGTAAATTCCAAAAGATTGAAATTCTACCAACCAACTTTTCAGACCACAAAGGTATAAAACTAGAAGCAAATTGTACAAAGACAACAAAAGGCTCACAAACACATGGAGGCTTAACAACATTCTTCTAAATAATCAATGATCAACGACCAAATTAAAATGGAGATCCAGCAATATATGGAAACAAATGACAACAACAACACAAAGTCCCAACTTCTGGGGGAAGCAGCGAACACAGTCATAAGAGGAAAGTATATAGCAATCCAGGTATACTTAAAGAATGAAGAACAATTCCAAATCAATAGCCTAACATCACAATTATTGAAATTCAAAAATGAAGAACAAATGAGGCCTAAAGTCAGCAGAAGGAGGGACATAATAAAGATCAGAGAAAAAATAAACAAAATTGAGAAGAATAATACAATAGAAAAAAATCAAATGAAACCAAGAGTTGGTTCTTTGAGAAAATAAGCAAAATAGATAAGCCTCTAGCCAAACTTATTAGGAGAAAAAGAGAATCAACACACATCAACAGAATCAGAAATGAGAAAGGAAAAATCATGATGGACCCCACAGAAATACAAAGAATAATTAGAGAATACTATGAAAACATATATGCTAACAAGCTGGAAGTCCTAGAAGAAATGGACAACTTCCTAGAAAAATACAACCTTCCAAGACTGACCAAGGAAGAAACACAAAATTTAAAGAAACAAATTATGAGCAAAGTAATTGAAGAGGTAATCAAAAAACTACCCAGGAACAAAACCCCTGGGCCAGATGGATTTACCTCGGAATTTTATCAGAAATGCAGAGAAGACATAATACCCATTCTCCTTGAAGTAAAAATAGAAGAGGAGGAAATACTCCCAAACTCATTCTATGAAGCCAACATCACCCTAATACCAAAACCAGGCAAAGACCCCACCAAAAAAGAAAATTACAGACCAATATCCCTGATAAACATAGATGCAAAAATACTCAACAAAATACTAGCAAACTGAATTCAAAAATATATCAAAGGGATCATACACCACAACCAAGTGGGATTCATCCCAGGGATGTAAGGATGGTACAACATCGAAAGTCCATCAATATCATCCACCACATCAACAAAAAGGACAAAAACCACATGATCATCTCCATAGATGCTGAAAAAGCATTCGACAAAATTCAACATCCATTCATGATAAAAACTCTCAGCATGGAAACTCATCCCATGCTCTTGGCTAGGAAGAATTAATATCGTCAAAATGGCCACCTGCCCAAAGCAATATACAGATTTGATGCAATCCCTATGAAATTATCAACAGCATTTTTTAACAAACTTGAACAAATAGTTCAAAAATTCATATGGAAACACCAAAGACCCCGAATTGCCAAAGCAATCCTGAGAAGGAAGAATAAAGTGGGAGGGGGGAATCTCACTCCCCAATTTCAAGCTCTACTACAAAGCCACAGTAATCAAGACAATTTGGTACTGGCACAAGAACAGATCCACAGACCAGTGGAAAAGAATAGAGACTCCAGACCTTAACCCAAACATATATGGTCAATTAATATACAATAAAGGAGCCATGGTCTTAAATTGGGGAACTGACCATCTCTTCAATAGATGGTGCTGGCAAAACTGGACAGCTACATGTAAGAGAATGAAACTGGATCACTGTCTGACCCCATACACAAAAGTAAATTCGAAATGGATCAAAGACCTGAATGTAAGTTATGAAACCATAAAACTCTTAGAAAAAAACATAGGCAAAAATCTCTTGGACATAAACATGAGCAACTTCTTCATGAACATATATCCCTTGGCAAGTAAAACAAAAGCAAAAATGAACAAGTGGGACTACATCAAGCTAAAAAGCTTCTGTACAAAAAGCAAAGGACACCATCAATAGAACAAAAA